AAAAAAAAAAAAAAAAAAAAAAAAAAAAAAAAAACCCTATGACCTGTGCAATTCATGCTACAGAATGGAAAATCTTTGTTGGACCTGATTATCAAAGTAAAATTATCTGAAATTATTTCTAAAGAATCTAAACAAATAGGTGAGGAAGGAAGGCTCTTGCAATCAAACTCGCTTTCACTTCCACTTCACATACATGCAAACAGGTGGCGACTCACTCTGGCGCAGGGCGCCCACTCAGAGCTCAGAGATATGGACAACAAGGACACAGTTCAGATGCAAGTTCACTTCAATAGGCTATGGCGCAACAGCGCCTGGACATCCCAACTCTCGTCGCCTCGTCCAACACCACTGTTTGCACGCCCTCAACTCTCCGCGACCCTGGATCACCCTGAATACACCCACACACACACACTCAGATTCTATCTTCCTCCTACAGCGGCTATGGCCGCACTAACACTACTGGCTATGGCTACACTCTCTCTTCAGCCCACTTCGACTTCGGGCAACCTGCAGACCACCTTCGCACAAGACGCTGTAGCAGTGCTTCCGCATGGCTTACGCAGCGAATGAACGAGTGGCTGGGCGCTGCCTCTTGATTTATACTTCTGTAACTCGTTGGTCTGCCCCTTTCCCAGGCCCTTGGTGCACACAGTCCCACACGGTACTTGCGTGACTGGACTCCGACTGACTGGGATCGGTGCCACTGACTGCATGGGTTTGCACTGCCAACTCGATGCAGTCGCACTGCCGACGTTACGCAGTTGGCTCACCACTTGCCCACTTGCCTCTGACTAAAGGCTCACCACTTGCCCACTTGCCTCTGACTAAATCGAAAGGCCACTTCCGGACCTTCCGGAAGTCTGTGAACTTGGCCTTTCGGATACTGTAGCAGCTACGACCCTGACCTTTCAGGACTGTAGCAGCTACGACCTTGACCTTTCAGGACTGTAGCAGCTACGACCTTGACCTTTCAGGACTGTAGCAGCTATGACCTTGACCTTTCAGAATACCTACAGCTACGACCTCTACAAAGCTGTGACTCGTAAGGTCGAACCCCAACCACTACACAGACCTACGACAGACGACAAACAGCTGCCAAAACACAGGTCACGGGTTCAAACACTCGGGTGTCGACTCAATACTGTACACGGGCAAAGTGAGGTCTGGGAATCGAACTCTAGGGCCGCATCTGTGGCTGCAGAAAGGTGAAAACCGTTTCACATTGCATTTGGGAGGTCAGGGCAAGATGGGCACTTGTAAAAAAGGGCACCATCCTCAGGACGAAGAGATCGTTTTGGGCCTATAAAATTATTGAAATCCCTTCCCTTTCGTGGCCTAAATTGGGTCCAAGAAATCGGGCAGAAAAGTCGGCGTCCTGGCGGTATCCTGCAGATGAACCCGTCTGGGGCGATGTAACTTTCCGGTCTGTGGACAAAGCCAGCTAGTAAACAATTGGCCCAGAAGCGCTGATGCAACAACGGTGGAGAGGTTATGTTTATAACAAAAAAAAATTAAGGCCAATGTTGGCATATTGCGCGATAAAATGAAAACCTCGACGGCCTAAACCAACACACAGCATGTCTAAAAGCCTATGTTTTACCAGGCTGTGCGTGCTGCACGTCAAAAACCAACAAGAAGTGGCCGGGCAGTGGGCACGATTTTGGCTGGCGCCACCCACCTGCCATTTTGGTCCCGTAGCCAACCTTGACCCCCTGGAACTCTCTTTTTTTTTTTTTTTTTTTTTGACCCCCCCCCTGGAACTCTCAGACATATGTTCGCGCGAAGTGGTGGTTTAAAAATTAAAATTGAAGCGCAAGGAATAAAATTAAAACAAGCCTATGTTTGTGCTTGAGATGCGCAGTGGTGGTTTAATTTTTTTTTGTGCTTGAGATGCGAAGTGGTGGCTTAAAAATTAAAATCGAAGCGCAATGAATAATGATGATGTCAGAAAAAAAAGTATCTCAACAAGCTAACGGCTGAGGTGGTTTCGCTGAGTGTGAGTCTGTTATCTAACCTCCCCTCTTACCCCATTGTTTCTCTTTCCGTGCCTTTTTTTTTTTTTTTTTTTTTTCCCGCATGCAGTGATGTACATTGTGGATTTCAGAGTTCCTGGATATTACCAGAAGTGCCATGACCCAGACTGCAGAGGTGAGCTCTCAATAATTGGAGTGTGGGACTCGCTGTGGGACTTGCTGCGGGACTTGCGGTGGGACTAACTGTGGGGGTTGCTGTCGGAGTCCCATGGCACTCGCTGTGGGACTCGCTCAGTGAGTCCCTGTGGGACTCACTGTGGAACCCACTGTGGGGCTTGCTGTGGGGGTCACTCACTGTAGCTGAGCATTGCTCAAGGCATCGACCTCGCTTTCGCCATAAATTTGCTGATTGATGGTTCATCTACCGCCCTACCTTCTTTCCCCGAATACAACGTACGGTCATTAAAGCTGTATGTATTTGGGGTATCTTTCAGTCTAAATACAGCTACAATGATCATACGTTGTATCCGGGGGAAGAAGGTAGCCGAGGAGGTTCACTTGCTACATCTGCCTGTGGGAGAGGTGGCCATCGTGGAGCTGGCAATGTGGTGGTGGCGAAGTTATGGTGCGCTGTTTGGACTTGTGGGGGTGCAGTATAGTTATTGTGCTAATGATGGATTATGGTGAAGGTTGTGGTTTTTGGTTATGGTGACGGAGTTATGGTTATTTCTTATGGGGGAGGTGCTATCGTAGTCAGTACGACTATGGTGTGCAGGTGATAATGGTTATGGGGGTGCAGCTAAAATGGCTAACCAAAAGGGTGAGGAGTTATGGTGATGGTTATGACGGTTATGGTGGATCTATGGTTATACATATGGTCATGACGGAGAAGTTACGGTTATGGGTATGGGCGTAGACGTTATGGTTAATATGGATATGGGCATAGAAGTACGGTTATGATTGTGGTGGACTCGTGGTTATATGATTATTATGGCTATCATGCTGGAGCTACGAATATGGTTGTGCTGGTGCAGCTATGGTTATGGCGATGGAGGTGGAGTTACAGCTATAGCAGTGCAGTTATTGTAAGTATTGTGGAGTCAAAGCACCAGTACATGCCAGCTATCAGTCGCAGGCCCCTTTCGGAGGCCTCTTGCCGCCGATTCATTTTATCTATGGCGCTCGACCTCCTAAATTTTAGGAGAGGCTCAAAACAGGTTCTCCAGTGGCCTTGGCCCATGTACTGTGGACCTGGGATTTGGGACCTGGGACCTGGGACTCGGGACTGGTATCTGGAACTTGGGACTGGGTCCTGCAACTCAGACTCGGGACTGAACAAGGGGTGCTGAGATTCGTGAATCCTTCTTTCATTGTTTGGACTCTGGAGATATGTTGATAGTTGTTGTTGTTGTTGTTGTTGTTGTTGTTGTCGTTGTTGTTGTTTTTTAAAAAGAGCAGCCCCTTCTATTCTGGGGGGCATCAGTCCGGTTGCTCATCACCGGCAAGTAGTTGTTAGGATGGAGTCATGTTTTTTTTCGCAGTGGTGTTAAACCACTACCGTCTTCACCCGAATAGAATGCCCGGTCATTATCGCTGCATCTGGACTGAAAAATGCCCCAAATACAGCTATAATGCCCGGGCGTTATATTCGGGTGAAGATGGTAGTACCTCCGCCAGTGTTGGGAAAATAGGGAAATATAACGGAAAACTCAGAACTGGCAGTTTTCCCATTTTCCCCGAAAAGTTCCAGAGGTCCCAGAGGCTCGGCAAGAAGAATAAAGTATGGTTTTATATTGCCTGCTCGTGGAAAAAAAAAAAAAAAAAAAAAAAAAAGAAGAAGAAGATACTTTCTCTACTGCAATGATGTCGGGCAGGGTAGTGTAGGAGGCCGTACTCACAGTAGTCCATTCTGCGCCAAAAAAAAAAACAAAAAAAAACAGTAGTCCGCAGCAGAATGAATCTTTTTTTTTTTCGTTTTTTTAATGGGAAAATTTTTGAAAATCCAAGTCTCCATGCTAGGAGAGGTGGCAAAAGCACCCCCTCCTAGCAGGCCACCTGGTTGCCCCAGTATATTGATGTCACAGAATGAATCTTGCTGCTAACACGGTCAGATTGTGGATGTTGTTGCTTTCTTTTTTCCCCTTGAAGTTCTTTCCTTACTTTTACCACCCCCCTGCCATCGAGGCAGGGCATAGTCCGTGATTTGCTCAAGCTGTGTTTTCTCAACCGTGATCACACTGACACTCAGAGGAATCTATCCAGCCAATATCACGGCCGAGTCTGTGCTTTTCCCTTTTTTTTTCCTTTTTTTTTCCTTTTTTTTTTTTCGTTTTTTTTTCCTTTTTTTTTTTTCTTCTTTTTTTCCTTTATATTTCTTGAATCTGACACTCTGGCTACGGGGCTGAGACGCCTTCACTGAGGGCACACTGACACGACCACGTCCAAGCATGCATAGCATTGCATACAAGTTGATACAACTGAATGTCATGGCCAAAGCTTTGTTTCATTCCCTCCCCCCCCCCCCCCCTCCCCCCGATTCTTTTGTGAGTTTCACGGCCGCGACTTTTCTTCTTCTTCTTCTTCTTCTTCTTCTTCTCTTTCTGTCTTCTTTCCGTGAGAGAGTACGAGAAAAGAAAATGGAGTGGGACCCTGGCTTGGCAAAACTTGGAGCGCAGTGAAATTCAGGCTCGGCAAAAACAGGCTCGGATGTACTAGCGGTTTAAGGCGATGGTTATGTTGAACGAGTTATAGCAATTGTGGAGTTATGGTTATGGGCCTTATGGCTATGGTGGAGTGATGGTTATGGTGCTGAAGTTATGGTTATGGTTACGGTAGTGGAGTTGTGGTAATCGTGGTATAGTTATTGTTATAGTTATGGTGATAGTGTTCATAGTAGCAATCAATTGTTTTTTGGAGAAAGACAAGACAACGAATCTCGCACTCGATTGGTTTATTAAACTTTATTTCATTTTGCACAATTGTATTGCCAGCACACTAGCACTCCTTCGCAAGAGCCCCGACGCGCGGAATATGGATCCGGGTTGAAGAAGACTCTTCTATGTAAGATTGGAGATTTTTTTTTTTTTTTTGTACTGTTGATTCATTGTTTTTTTTTTTCCAGATTTCGTCGGGCTGATTCAACTGACCTTGTTCTTTCTTTCTGCATTAAATTTCGCCGGGCTGCAGGTTTCCGATCACCGATGCGCCCTCTTCCTCTTTCAATGGTCCCTGATCTTCCAGGGCTCGACAAACTGTCAAGCATATGGTCTAAGCATATTCATCCTGCCAGCGAAATCAACTACAACTCCGCAATGATCGCTGAAAAAAGAAGTCAGCTACAGACAAAATGCGATATAAGTAGCCAGGCTCCTTTGCCGAGGGGAGAGATTGCTTTGGCGCAATCGCACGAGCAGGCGGCTGAAGGCAGCGATTGTACGAAGCGAACCGCTGCTGTGGGCGGCAGCGTGCTTCTGTTGGCTGGGGGGCATTCTGCAGAACATGGCCTGCTGCTCGCTGAAGATGATTGCCCCAAGAGTGTAAATCCAATCGGCGTTGCTCCGCGAAGACAAGTTGTTGAAGGTTCCGTTAACCTTACGAGAGTTGGTGATGATTCTACAAGGAGAGGTGGTGGACTGGGTGTTAGCGGAGTTGGTGACGGCTCTCGTAATGTTAGCGTCAGTAAACGTGACGATGATTTGCGACAAAGAAGAAGTAATGGAGACGGTGAGTGCAGACGAGGGGTCGTCGATGCTCGCGAAACACCCGCTTCTGCGTCTGCAGACTGTCCACAGCCTTCCCTTGCAAATAGCCGCAATAAAAGAAGTAGTGGAGATGATGGCGGAAGAGTGGTCGTCGATCCTTGCGAAACGTCATCCGCTTCTGCTTCTGCAGACTGTCTACTGCCTCTCCGTGCAAATAGCCGCGATAATCATTGCGAACGTGATGTGACCCGGTGTGGAGGTCCATCTCAGAACCATACACGAAAGGGCTCGGCAAGTACCTCAGGAGTGCTAAAGAACTCGGCCAGTGCTTCAGGAACGCAACAGGACTCTGCAAGACGCTCCCAATCACTTAAGGAAGCAAAAGAGACTGAAGCATTTCAATGTCCAAATAATTATTCATTAGGATCGTCTGCAAATGCCGATAAGTCAAAATTGAAAAAAGAGGTGGCACCCTCCTCTCAAAGATGGCAGCCTCCTGACGTCTGCAGTGATATCAATGCAAACGATGACGACTGGTGGATGGAGGTTGTGAAGATGACAGAGCAACTGGAAAAGACGATGACGATCAGTGGGAAGAAAAAGGACAGCGCAAACATGCCACGTGATGTAAGTGACTGACCCCTGTGTGTGTGTGTGTGTGTGTGTGTGTGTGTGTGTGTGTGTGTGTGTGTGTGTGTGTGTGTTGTCATATTCGCCATACACTCAAAAAAAGCATGACTGTGC